GAACATGTGGAAGAGAACTTGGAGAGGTGGAGGTATGCACTTGAAAGGAGGAATGAAAGTCAGTCGTAGTAAGACAGAGTCCATTCATTCATTCAACCTCTATTTATCCAGGTTTGTCTCATTGAGCCTCGGACTCATTTACAAAAGAACTGATTTTAACAAAGAATGATGACAACTGGACAATTTCAAAATAAATCATATAAATTGAAAAAGTAAATTGTATTTTAAAAAAAGAAACGAAACTGCGAGATTGTAAAGCCGTGTAGAAAACTAAAAACATAAACATGTCTATGTTGGTTCTTGCAGGAACTTATCAGATGTTTGAAGCCGCACAGAGAGGTCAAAGGTCGAGAGCTTCAGATCTTTTTACAAGATATTCCAGGAAACAGGAGCGGAGTAGGAGAAGGTCCTTTTGTCTAGTTCAGTCCTCATTGAGGGAACACTGCAGGTAATGATGTCCTGAGAGCGCACGCTGTAGCTGCACTCACACAGAGACATGTAGGAGGAGATGTATGAAGGCAGCAGACCAAGAAGTGATTTAAAGATGAAAATGTACCAGTGAGAGAGTCTGTGTGAAGTTAATGGTGACCAGTTAACCAGTGAATACTGGGTGCAGTGGTGGGTATGATAATCACAGCCAGTTATGAATCTTGGTGCACCATGATAGACAGCATCCAACATCTGCAGCATCCAACATCTGCAGCATCCAACATCTGCAGGGTTCTTGTAGGAGCGTTCATGTAAATAATGTCACTGTAATCAATGGAGGGAAGGAAAGTCACAGATACAAGGTGTTTCCTAACATTCAGGATTAGACGGGATCTGTTTCTGAAAAAAACCCAGTTTAACTTTCAGTTTCTTTACCAAGTTTTCATGTGGAGTTTAAAAGAGAGATGTGAGTCGACCAAGATACCCAAATATTTGTAGGAATTGACAAACTCAATAGGGACACATTTGAGGATGAGATCAGAGGAAGAACTGCTGGGACCAACTTCCTGTTTGAAAACAACATCCCTTTGGTTTTGTCAGCATTTAGGACAAGTTTGAGACAGAACAAATCAGTCTGGATGATGTTGAATGCAGATTGCAAGAGCTGGAAATCCTTATCAACAGTTTTAGCTCGACAACTGTGTCATCAACATAGAAATGTATGGATGTGTCAAGGATGCTCTGACCTACATTACCTATGTAGATTGTAAAGAGGGTGGTTCCTAAGACTGAGCCTTGTGGTACACCATTGTTGACTGTTAGATAACTGGAGGAAGTACCATTATGTTGAACACATTGCCTCCGGTCTGAAAGATAGAGAACCAACCAATGGTGTGTTCTGAGAAACCAATTTCTGAGAGTGTATGACACAAGATGTTCTGATCCACAGTGTCAGAATCTTTAGACAGGTCTAAGAAAAGTGCAGCACAATAATCCTTAGCATCCAGTGCTTCAACAACGTCATTAAGAACCTTCAGTGAAGCAGTGGTTGTGCTGTGTTGTTTCCTGAAACCAGACTGATGTGGAGGTAAGATGTGGATCAGACCAGGGTGCACCATGAGGAGGACTAGCCAGGAGTTGCCCACGGTAGCTGAAAGTCACTGTGTCTGCTTCAGGGGTCAGTGAGGACGACAAATGAGGAGAAGGTGTGCGGGGGATCAGCAACCTTCAGCCAGCTGACACAGCTGAAAATGTGAGTTGCACATGTGAGAATAGAATCCTTCATCTTTGGTAGTTACTTGAAGCTTCTAACAAAAACTAACTGAGCAAACCTGTTTCTTTGCTAATCTTCCTGAGACAGAACTTTACTAATTGGCTTTTTCACATAGTTCACAGTTGCATAATTCATAAAAATCCAAAAGTTTTAGAAGCATCTCCATCCAGTTCAGATTATTTCTAAAGTACCAAGTCAACAGAATCACCTCAGGGCACTGAACAGAAACATTCATATATATATAAAATAATTTAACACTATTTATCTCAATCCCATGTCTCTGTGTCCACATCAGCAGTCAGAGCTGTCTTTCTACTGAAGACTGAAAATAAAAACAACTGAAAACTTTTTTTTACTTATTTTTGAAGTAAATAATAAAACAGCCATCTTTTAAGTCACAACTTCGGCTACAAATTAATGTTAAAAGTTTAGTTTCTTCTTC